ACAGGACCCCAGTCACACCCCCAGCAGGAGAAAGAAAACCACCCCGGGCTAGCCAGCCTTGCGTGCCGAGGAGGCTGGCGTCGGCGGGGGGAAGATGAAAGAAAAAGCCTACAGCCTAAGCAGCGTTTCCTTTCTCTAAGCTTTTTATTTATTTTGCCTTTTTATCTAACGGGGAGATTCTGTAAATATTGTAAAAAGGCATTTCTCATTGACTATACACTTCGCACTGTAAGGACACATTTGACAAAGGTTTCGCGTAGGGTTTTTGCCGTTTGAAAGCCATGTTAGAAACAGCGTAAGACGCTAAAGTCTAAAACAGTCAATGCGCACTGCGACTGGGTGGTCAAGGATAACCTGAAATACTCAAATGATGCCGACTAAATCTAGAAAAGGCGTAACATTAAATCTGACTCAAAAATTCAGTCGGATTTTATTTGTGAGCATCAATGTTTTTATCCAGCAAGTCACCATTACGATTTTCTATGTTTTATACATTTCAAATGAAACACAATGTAGTGGAGCCTACTGCACTTCAGTTTTAGCAGATTTTTTTGAACTCCAGACCCTGACGTTAACTCCTGGTGCAACGTTTTCCTGTGCAGTAGGGCTGCTTATAAGAGTATGAGCAACACCAAGTGCAAATCTCTTTCTGGAGCTCCCGACAGAAGTTCCTGCCGTTTTTATCATTCCATTATATGACCTAAAAATCTCTGTCTCTCTCTCAAAATACTGCCAGGTTTGTAACTGATTGCCTATCTGATTTTTCTATATGTACCAGTAATCTTCATTTGTACTACATAGTTTAGTGAATGAAGTTCATAGTTCTGCTGTAATGGAAAATACTATCAAACTAACTCCATATTGCTTTGGGTGTCGTGCTATGAACACCTTTCGTGCACATAACTATTTTAATATGGAAATCTCGCAGGAAATGTTTTTGCTTTCAAATCACCAGATCATATTAATACGCTTTATGATATAACACATTACCTGTTACCGACGTGAAATATAGTGTAGAGGAAAAAAAAAATGCAGTTGTGGTAAAACTGATACACCAGTTTTATTTCCTTAGCTAATAATGTAGTCAGTTCTTCTGATACGATTGTGCCCTACTGCATGGAAACTGCATTATTTTATAAATTACATGGAACATAGACGAGAAACGTTTACATTTCAAATGTCTTAGTGGCCACTGCATAACGAGTACTTGGGGATATATTCTGATAGCTGCATGTAGACTTCCACGCTCAGCTCCCCGCATAGCGAGCAGAGACTTCATTCCTAAGGGACTACCTGTGCACAGCTCTTAGTCGTAGCTCCCGGTGACGTTAAAGGGGATTTTTGCCCAGGGGAGAACAGCAGGACCGCATCCTCGAGAGGATGTTGTGTTCCTGTGGTCCCCTCTGGGTTACCTCTTGTTGGTTGCAGTTGCTGATAAAGTTATATTGCACTACTCTAACAATACTTTTTGAAAAGACTATTTAGAAATACTTTGCAAGCAAATGTATATATATATATTTGTCTAAAGAACTATATGTTAGCTGCATTGCTCACGAAAGATCATCCTGGATTTGTTTATTTTACAGACACGTTGATAGCTGGTTTCTGACCTGACGGTTATTTTGATCTTTCTGTTCATGTGTTTGAAAGAATGCCAGTCAAATGGCTTGTTCCGCAGAAAGTCTTGGACCTAAACATGTTACATCATGACTTTAGAAGAATTGATTTGCAAAGCGTGCGTAACCACCTTTTCCCGAACGGCGACATACTATCGATGAAGTCAGATTCGCTGATGAGCCTGTTTTGTTTAAAAAAAAAGCCAAACTTTCGACTTGACAATGTGTGAATGTTTGTCGCCAGTTGTCAGTTTCACAGAGTTCTTTGGTACGCTGCAAGCCTTGGACCTTCTTAACGTTGCCCATCAGTCCGCGTGCAGTTCCCTGTTGTGTTTTTTTTCTGTACTCAATTTCAAATGTCTACTTTGGTGGTAATGTCTGAGTTAGTTAGTTATACACATTTACTGCATTAAAAACAGTTTTAAGCATCTCTCTAATAGGTATTAGGAAGCCTCTTTCTTTGAAGTCCTACACTGTGGTGTTCCCGTGAGTGGTGGGAAGGGCAAGGGTATGGAAACATTGCATTTCCGTGTGCACGGTTTCAGCATTTTAAGCCCCAAAACTTGTAAGTGGAGGGGGCAGGGGGAGAAAAATACCTGTTTGTTGAAAACTGGTGAACTCCTTTGAATGCCTCAATCACTCAGAACTGATCTCAATGAAAATACAACGCAGAGAGGCAAGGCTAAGAATGCATGTATGTCAATTAAATAGGATTCTCCTGCAACAACAGGACATTTAAAAATCACATTTTAAAATCATTTCTCAGTCAACCCATTTTCAATATTTGCAGTTTGTCCACTCTGCTTTGTGTGGGAGGCTGCTGTAGAGAATCAGTCCTGCCTTACGCTGTAAATATTTCAACCTATCTTCCATTTCCAGATCGGTTCTGAAGTTAGTTTCTAGCCTGTTAGATGTGCTGGGTGTCATTCCTAAGAAACTTGTCCATTCATAGGCATTCACAAAAAAATAATGCACCTAACGATCATGAACCTCTTTCTGCTCTCAGACAATAACATTTAACAACTTTGTGTCCAGTGAAAATGAGTAACTTAATTGGGGTCCACACTTAAACTAAGTGCCAGAGCACTGAGGGTCCATGGAAGCTCATTGTCTGAGAGGTTCTAGCTGCATTTCTGCTGGTAACTTACAGTACAGAGCTTAGTTACACTGTTTTTATGGTTTTTCCTCTTTGTAGTAAGGAACAAGGTGTTTTTTGTAGCAGCAATGACCTTTAACTTGAAGAGCTACTGTCCTGTAACTTAGCATTTTAAATCCAAACGGAATAAAAAAAAAGAAGCTTCTTTTCTATTGCAATTAAAACAACAGTGGAATAATCAGAAAGTGATTAAGCAGGCTGCATGCTGTATATCTGCTAATGGGAGCCTTAAGAGCTCAGGCTTTTCTACCAACAAGAGCTGCTGGGCCTGCCAGCAAATGCACTACCTGATCACAGAATCACAGAATGTTTTGGGTGGGAAGGGACCCCTAGAGGTCACCCAGCCCAACCCCCCTGCAGGAGCAGGGACACCTTGAACCACATC